AGCTCTTGGGTTGCTTTCATGGTATGTTTTGGGTCATTATCCATCTGTTCTGTGAAGCAGTGTCCTACAGGCCATATATAGTCCATGCTATAACACTGCTTCCACGTTTGACAAATAAGGTGGTATGCTTTGGATCATGAACCCTTCCTTTCCTTCTCCATATTCATCTCTTCCCATCATTCTGGTACAAGTTACTCTTGCTTCAGAACCGGTCAGGCTTTTTTTTTTTTTTAAGGTCTGTTCTGTTTTTTCAGCCTAATGATGGCCTCCTTCAATTGCATCGACACCTCATTGGACCGCATATTGAGAGTTCCCATGAACAGCTACAAAATGCAAATTCAAAGCTTGGAATCAACTACATATTTATCTCCTTAATTTGTCATGAAATGAGGAAACAGGCCACACCTGCCCATGAAACTGCTTTGTGACATGGTGCATGATCTTGCTGGAAGTAGCCATTAGAAGATGGGTAAAATGCAGCCATGAAAGGATGCACATGGTCAGCAAAAATACTCAAATAGGCTGTGGCACTGAAGCAATGACTGATTGGTCCCATTAACACCGAAGTGTGCCAAGAAAACATTCCCCACAGCATTACACCACCTCCACCAGCCTGGACTGTTAACACAAGGCAGGTTCGGTCCATAGATTCATGCTGTTGGCGCCAAATTCTGACCCAACCATCTGTCTGCCTCAGCAGAAATCGAGACTCATCAGACCAGGATAAGTTTTTCCAGTCTTCAGCTGTCCAGTTTTGGTGAGCCTGTGCCCACTGCAGTGTCAGCTTTGTGTTCTTAGCTGATAGAAGTGGAACACAACTTGGTCTTCTGCTGTTGTAGCCCATCCACCTCAAGGTTCGAAGTGTTGTGCATTCAGAAATATAGAAATATAGAATATATGCAATATAAAAATATTCAAACCAGCCCATGCTATGGTCAAGATCACTGAGATCACATTTTTTCCCCCTATTCTGATGGTAGATGTGAACATTACCTGAAGCTGCTGGCCCGAGCTTCATGATTTTATTTATTAAAGTGCTGCCACATCATTGGCTGATTGCATGAATGGATAGGTGTACAGGTGTTTTGTGTGTGTGTGTGTGTGTGTGTGTGTGTATGCATATATATATATAGAGAGAGAGAGAGAGAGAGAGATACACACACATACGTGTATAAGCTGTTTGAATGACTAAATTGGCAACCCTAATATCGACGCTTCACAGCTCCGGTACCCAGCATAACATCACGAACAATGAACCAACTAACACTCAGTCCCTCAGACATGCTAACGATACCTGGCATCCTAAAGTCTGGGTTAAAAACAACTTGACGTTATCATATAACTTCTGTGTAGTTTACATCAGATAAACCTAGCCAGTTAACGACATCCAAACCAGTCAGCACCTTTCTTACAGGATTCTTTAGTCTTACTTTACCTGGATAGAGGTTTCATGTTGTGCTTTACAAGGACTTGTTCCTCATAATCCAACAGTTTTAGTTTATCTAACAAGTCCTCCATAATCATAAACATCTGGTGCTGTAATCCAGAACTCCGTTCATCCTCGTCTTCCCTTCGACCATCGTCTGCCATGTTTTTATACCCACCCGGGAGCTTACTTTTATCTACTGTAAATGTTGTTGAACAACGGGTTTTACAGGTTAGTATCCTGAAAACCAATGGAGTATGGGGTGCAAACTTGAATTAGCTAGCGAACATTAACAAGAAGTTATTCAGCTAGCTAGCTCCTACCATTGCTGGACACAAATGGCTTGTTGTCGTTAACTTAGTTACCGTTGTCAGACAACAACAGGCGAATTGGCTCATTTTACTTCCGGGTGAAATTTAGTAGACAAAGTTACATGTTTAAATATAGTCACTCACAATATAAACGGAATGCACATAAATACCAATAATTTTGCCAATAAAAAATGAAATGCACAAATAATTACTTTTTTAATAACTGCAATCGTACAATCATAATTGTCCCCAAAACGAAAAAGTCTAGAAAATATCACACGGTGTTTACACCCTATTTACTAAGCCAAATGTGAGTATGACCTAGGAACCTTATCCCAGACTGCTCCAGAAATGTGGAACAACAGACGTATAATAGTTAGAAATAAAATGCAGTTTAGTCATTTGGAACTGGATCCAAAAGCACATAACAGGTTAAACATTCAGTGATGATGGTGAAATTTATATTTAAGTTAATATACAGGAATAGTATTTCCCCTTACATTCATCAATATTTTGCCGTAAGTATTACCATACCTAGGGAACTGTACAATTTATTAGAAACTTATAGAATTATTTCTAACTTTTAAAGAACGAGAAAGATATTTTAATTTATTGGTGTTCATTCATCTTCGGTAACTGCTTTAACCTGGTCAAAGTGGATCTGTCTCAGTGGCTCTGGAACCTTTGTAATTTTACTGTTTACTTTCTAATAATAGTAATGATTTTGATACTTTTCATTAAATTATTGCTGAAGACATTTTTCTCTTATAAATAATCACTTGTAAATAATTTATTAAGCTGGTTACTGGTTTTATTAAATTTCTGGTTATTACTATTTCTACTATTATATCACTATCACAAAATAAATTCAATTAAATGATTGCAAAGGCGTTAATACGGTCCCTGAAATGGCCTCCCGTGGGCGCGCTTGATGGCGCTCCGTCCCAGCTGGGGGCGGTAAACGGACCTTTCGTCGGTCTGCCATCTGAAACACGTACACGAAGAATGAGTCGCCTGGAACAATAAAAGAGAGCTCTGTGTGAACGGTATAAATTAGTTGGCGCTCTACTTCAGTATATAAGTAAGAAGTTGTATCGATTGTAGTTACCTCACGTGAAGCTCGTGAGGTTAAATATTTTAATATTTACATATTTTTAATATGTAACTTCGCTCAGTTGTTTAGTGTTAAAGGTTGATAGTATAATATTAACAATGTGTTGCGCAGGTCGCTAGCTAGGATAACGATAGCCAATTCTGCATAGTGGTTAAGCTAGCTGGCTTTTACTTTCTTTTTTCACAGTACCTGTTACATTGTGCGTTACAGGTAATGTAACTGACTGAATGACAAAAACAATGATAAAGCTGCTTACTTTTGTGCCAGCAAAACAACCGTGACTGCTTAACACTGGATATGTAGTGACCGCAACAAAAGACCTTTAATAAAGCAACATTTATAATAATTTTAGTTCCTGAGGATTTAACACAAGAAGAAACACCAGTCAAGGCGTCTGGAACCGTTTCTAATGTTTGTGGTTGTGTTTTGATGATGCAGGATTGTTTAAAGTCGTTTAGGAGTTTGTGAAGTGTTTGGTGTTGTGTTTAGATGGTTATGTTTTGGGGTAGGTTTAGGGAATGCAGCTGTGAATTGTGTAGTGATCAGAGGATGCTGTAGTGGTTCTGTCTGTTTTATTTACAGAAATTGAATGAATGAGAACAGCATGTCGGGGGTACCTGCAGTGCGCGTGAGTATTGAGTCATCCTGTGAGCGGCAGGTGCAGGAGGTTTCACTGGATGGAGTGGAGACGTATGTGCCACCACTTTCCATGTCACAGAACCTTGCAAAGCTTGCACAGCGCATTGACTTTGGTCAGGGCTCTGACTCGGATGAAGAGGACCCAAATGGACAAAGCAGAGTGTCTGACTGGAGCAAGCAAGACCTGGAGGGGGAAGAGGGTGAGTAGGGGTTATGTGCGCCTTCACTATCATGCTTTTATTGACACTGGAATTAAAATAATTTTTAAGTCTTATCAGACCTTTAGTATCTCAGTAACGCATAACCCAAAATTATACAGGACTAGTAAAATTCCAACCTTGTTCGTGGCCATGGGACTCAGTGAGGAACCATCTACGGAGTGCTCTGACTGAGATGTGTGTTCTGCATGACATGCTCAGTGTCATCAAGGAGAAGAAGTATATGGCTCTTGATCCAGTATCCCAGGATCCCATTGTTGTCAAAGTAAGAAAATACGATGCAAATATACTCCTCACTTCTCTCTAAGCTTACTGTTTTATTTTTTTGGCAGAGTACTGGGTAAACTTCTGGGACTGTGGACAACTCACTCGGTAATCTACATAAGCAATAAAATTTAAAGTAATACTTAAGTATTGTTCTACCACCGTGCAGTTAAAGTCTTTAATCTAAGACTAATAAACGGATTAATTTTTTTTTTTTTTGGAAAAAAGTGTTGTTTAACAAAGAAAAACGTATAATTGTTGATATGGTGAAGTCTGATTATTTCTGTTTAGGCCTAAGGAACTCGCTAACTCGCAAGATTTTCCTGATGTGTAGGCACTGGATGCCATGCAGACCATGATGTAAACACAAACACACAGAGTTTCAACAAAGAATAACAATGACTAAGAAATAATAAATGTTATAATAGCTGCATATTATTGCCCAAAACAGAACAGTAGCCTTAGTCTTTACTGTTTATTAGAGCAAAAGGCACCATGCAATTGCCTTTAAATTCTGTTTGGAGGAAAGCTGTACTATTAGATTAAGGGTGCACCCAGAAACCACACATTCTCATACAGTACCACCAGAATTATTGGCACTTTAATATATTAAAAAGAAGAACATATGCAGTAAGTGATGTTTGAACATAGTGATATTGTATAGATTTATTTAAACATTGCACCAAGTAGCAGAGTGTTGCTTAAACAGCGATATGCATTACTTAATAGGTGAGGTCATTAAAATACCATCATTAAAATACTCCTGTCCACTGTACTTGGTGGCATCATATCTTATTTTTCCATCGATTTGGAAAAATATGTGTCAACCCCAGCTTCCAATTTAAAAATTTTTTTAAATTAATTTTTTTTTTTTTTTTTTTTGCCACGTTTAAATCATTTTCCTGCTTCTTTGGATTTATTATTGTATTATTTCAGCAACATCTAGAATCATAGAAGTATGATGACTTCTTGAATGTTTCGTTTTTAAGTAAAAACCTTTAAATATATCTCATTTATGAGTTAGGGGGGCATGGTGGCTTAGTGGTTAGCACGTTTGCCTTGCACCTCAGGGGTTGGGGGTTCAAATCCCAGCTGCGTGCACAGAGCTTGCATGTTCTCCCCGTGCTTCGGTGGTTTCCTCCTAGTACTCCAGTTTTCTCCCCCAGTCCAAAGACATGTTGTAGGCTGATTGGCATTTCCAAATTGTCCATAGTGTATGAGTGGGTGTGTGGGTTATGTTATTTTCAACACTGTGAAGACCTAATGTATGTTTGAAATGATGCGTATGAAAATACGGGACGAATAGCATTATATTTTTCAAGACGGTATGATCCCGTATTATTTAGGATGGGTGCCAACCCTACTTATAGCTTTTCTCTCATCTCCTGGTGCATTTTTTTTGTTCCGTATGGGATAACAGCAGGAAAAGTCTACTCAGTCAGCTGTTGTTTATGAGAAACTCCATTGCTTGATGGCTGGCTAACTACATTTGAATGCACTTTTACACTCCATGTTTGTTCAACTAGGTGTTTTTTTAATGGTGGAACAAATTGGTAATGTTTAGACTTTGTCAGCACTGGATGGCAGCATATTTTGCATTTTGGGCTTAACTGTGCTTGTCATACTTTAGATATGCGACCTGGGAATGCTATGGCCTTTCTCTGGAACAATGACATCAAGAGATGACGACCCACTTTCATCTTCACTTTTGCTTTCAGGCCTCTCTCTCACCATTCAGCCTGATTGACTGTTATGCTGGCTTTATGCCATTACTACATGCTGCATAATCAGGCTGCATCCATTGGCTATTTCAGGAAGTTAGAAGGGAAAACAGAAATGAAAGTTTATCGAATTTGAATGCCCTCAGCTTGTCACCGTTATCGAGGAAACGTTTATTGCAATACAAATCAAGAATGTTTTGTCGCCCAGCACAATATCTATGCCTGCACAAACTGCACACAATGTTTGTCATGATTCGCTCCACCTTGATAAAAACCTGCAGTTCTGGCTGAAAAGAATCAGCCCTAAAGCATGATGCTGCCACCATCATGCTTCACCTTGGGGATTGTGTTCTTTTAGTGATGTACTTTTTTTTTTTTTTTTTTTTTTTTTTTTTTTTTTTTTTTTTTTTTTTTTTTTTTTTTTTTTTTTTTTTTTTTTTTTTTTTTTTTTTTTTTTTTTTTTTTTTTTTTTTTTTTTTTTTTTTGCGCCAAACATACCTTTTGGAATTATGGAATTATTATATCTTTTGGAATTGTTCTCATCAGGTCATAACACAATTGTATAGAATGGTTATCTGAGTTCCTGTAGCCTTTCTGTCAGCTCGAACCAGTCTGGCCATTCTCCATTTACCTCTCTCAACAAGGCACTTCCGTCCACAGAGCTGCTGCTGCTCACTGGATGTCTTTATCGCACCATTCTGCAAAAACTCTAGAGACGGTTGTGTGTGAAAATCCCAGGATCAGCAGTTATAGAAATACTGAAACCAGCCCATGTGGCACCAACAATCATGCCATGTCAAAATCACTGAGATCACATTTTCTTCCCCATTCTGATGGTTGATGTGAACATTACCCATAGCTGCTGGCCTGTAACTGCATGATTTTATGCATTGCACTGATGCCACATGATTGGCTGATTAGATAGTTGCATGAGTAGGTATACATGTGTTCCTAATAAAGTGCTCCATGAGTGTAGCTTCATCTCATCATTAGCACAGCTAAGTAAGTGCATTACTTTTATATAACTGCCCAGGCTGGAGTGTGTTATTCCGCTTATATCCCAGCGATCTTCAATGATTACAATGTTTCATTTATTAATGAACGACATGTCGCACATTTTACCGATTTATAGTTACAGTTAATGCTGTGAAATGTCCCAGAAACGTTATAGACACTATAAACAGTCATTCTCTCACCAGTCTCTTTCTTTCTCACCAGTCTCTTTCTTTCTTTCTCTCTCTCTCTAGAATCACGCGCTTTCTTTCGCTGGTTATTTTACAGAGAAACCGAAAAGCATAAGCTCCTCTGTCCTGAAGACTTTAAAGCATCATACCTGTTGCAAAGCGCCTACATCTGAGACTCCTACCATAAATGATAAATGTCTCCTAACAAAAAAACTTCACCACATCAACAATTATGTTTCACTTTGTTAAACATGTTTTTCAATTTGTTTATTATTAGTTTATGTGGAGTGCAAGTCCCTGTGAATACACTGTTACTGTAGACACAATAATGTATTAGAACAAGATCATTAAGCTGTTGTTCATGCTGCAGCTGGAACTACCTGTGCTGTTGTACAAAAATAATGTACACCTTCTGACCAATCAGATTTGAGCATTCAGCCATGCTGTGGTATAAAACATTTTATAATATCAAATTTCCTTTATTGTTCATTAATCAGTTAAACATTGTAATTGTTGGCAAAACGCTGTGTTATAAGCGGTATAACATCTGCAACAAAAATGTTGCTGCACTTTGTGCCGTCACATCACCCTGGTGTACATTATTTTCACATAACACACCATCTGTCCTGTGTTAGTCCTTACATGATGAAGTTGCATGCGTTAATTTGGCATGTAACGCCTGTAAAATACATTCATAAAATTACCAAAATACCAGGCATTCAAAACAAAAGGTCACATACGCCTGGCAACTGAAACCTGTGCCAGAATCATAATTGACATGTATCGTGGTTATACTTCTCACTTAACAGATAATCATGACATATGTCAATTATTATAGAGTCATAATTGTGTACAAGTGACCCAATTAATTCAGTGTCTACAATCAGAACAAATTAATTCAGATTGGCAAAAATCTGAAAACATAGTCACTGTTTTGGAAAGATATTTATCAAGAATTCCACCTTCTGAGCATTTCAAGCAGGTGTGTATGCAGACGGAAAGATGTAGTAAACAATCTGTCCCTATCAGAATAGGGAGTTCAGTGGGAGTTGTGTCCCTATCTATGAAACACATTTTATTTCACTGTTAAAATCTGAAAAACTGTGCATTGAAATTGTGGATCCGGATTCTTTTTAATTCTCTTTGATGTTTTAGTGGCCTTTTGTTGGAGCGGCCTCAGAAAAAAACGCTTCTCTTTTATGGATTATCATATGGAATATTGACTGTTCAGTTTGTTTGGAACCTGCAATACACCTCGTTAGGTCAGCTTTGAGCCCTCTGCCTTACTCTTTTATCTCTACGTTTTCCTCTCATTTGACTGAACTATCCTTGAGTAAATAAACAGTGCTGTACTCACCGAGGATTTTTGCCAAGGCTGTTATGTGCAGTTTTTGAATGGGTGGCCCGACTTCCCGCTTATTATCCACGTTATATGCAGTTTTTGAATGGGAGTCTTGACTTCCTGCTCTTTGTCCATGTCCAGTGGAGCTGGTGTTCACGGACTTTGAATTTTGGGTCGTGATGGTGGATCATTGAGCATGCTCTGCCTCTTGTACATCTTGGCCTACTGGAGTTTTGTTGTTGGCCCTTGCCAGTCTCATTGGGGAGCTCCCTGCATGCATGCAGGCATATGCTGTTATTTTGCTTCCGACATGGTTATATACTACCCATCCCTGGATTTACGGAGTCTGAATTCCTCGGCCCACCTGTCACACTGACATTTTTGCAGTTTCGCGAGGCTTCACGACGTCGCCCTCTGACTGGTGTAAGTGATGTGAAGAGGGGTGTCAAGTTTGATGATCTCAGCTCACTGAAACATCTTCTATTTCAGCAAAAAACGCAGATGACACCACTATTTAGATGGCCCTTATAAATGCAATATCAATATCGAACAAATCTTTTATTCTGAATGACTACTTTATAACTTGATCATTGGACTATTTATTCATCAGAGACCTGGCTGAATCCTGGCGAACAAATGGCCCTGGGGGATCTAACACCGCCATGCTGTGACTTTTTAAAATCTCCACGGTCTTTGGGCCAAGGAGGTGGCATTGCCACTGATTTTAGAAACTCTTTTAAATGCAGAATGCCACCCATGGACATGTATTCTAGTTTTGAGGTCCAGTTATTAAAGATGGACATCATGGGTCCTGTTTTCTGTGCACCTGTGTACAGACCTCCCAGATTTAACAGGGACCTCACCCAACAATTTTTGGACTTTGTTAAAATATTGGGGATTCTAATATTCACATTTGCTGTACATCAAAACCGATGATAAATGAATTTCTTTCCTTCACCAAGTCTTTAAATTTTGTACAACATATCACTGGTCCTACTCAATATGGGCCATACATTAGCTCTTGTATTATATTATGGTATCTCTATATCTAATTTAGAAGTCTTAGATGATGGCATTTCTGACCATTACGCGATAGTGTTTGTACCCATCTATCCTTGTCCTCTGCCTTCTTTCTCAATCTGTACTTTACTCCCGGTCTATTTCTGGTCTATGCTCATTACGTTGATCACAATCGACCAGTCGATTGCATGACAACCACTGGTTGATCTTCTTAATAGGTCAACGTAGAACCCCGATGTGTGAGAGTGTGGTGGAAGACTCTGAAGGCAGGCGAGACAATTTTTGCTGTGCTCTGGGCTCACATTTATTCAGTTTGTGCTTTTCAGCACACTTTCAAATACTCAACAAACCCAAAACAGCTCAACCAAAACGGGTCCATCCCAGACTTGCAGCTTTCACTCCGTCAAGTTCAAGTTCACACTTTGCGGCGCGTGGGTTTGTGTGCGCATGTGTGCATGCGTTCGTGGCTTGCAAGCTCTGCCACTATATCACACTCTCTCCTTATGGCAGTTACAGGATGCACAAAGAGACACACATACGTAGACTGGCGGTAATAAGACATGGGTAAGAACGCTCTCATACAAGAGTGTAGAAAAGCAGAGGGAAAGTGGAAAAAAGACAGGCTTCAGGTCTTTTTTGACAAGCTTAATGAACTATCAAAGAGCAGCAAAGAAAGAGAAAAATAAGTCTTTCTGTAAAGTAATTGCTGATAATGCAAATTGACTGAAAGTATTGTTTAATATAATCCATTCTGCTTTAAACCCTAGGAGAAATGTTTTGTTGACACTACCCAAGAGACCTGTGAGGAATTCTTAAGCTTTTTTACTTGCAAAA